TTTTTGATAAGCTCTGCATTTGCTTCATTTCGTCTTTCTCAGCTTTCTTTTTACACCACAAACAGAACTGTTTTATTTATTTATTTTTTTATATATAATTGTGGTTTGGACCTCAGCAGGTGTTTATTTAGAGTCAGAAACATTACAATAGATAAATCTTGGAAGTGTCTCACTTGAATGGCATGTGGTTGATTTTTAAATGTCAACAATTACATTTGCACTCATTCTGCCAAAGTTCAGCAATTACAAAGGTTCATTGAGTTCACAAGGTAAAGTCTTCAATTATTAACATGAAAAAATGGTAGGCTCAGTCCTGAAATCGAGTTGATCACACACTTTCATGGACATAATAGTGACGCAGTTTTTTATGTATTTTTTTTACTATATATACACTTAAAGAAGGAATTTCTCTGACAGCATTCAGTTATTTATAAGCTCTTTATTAGATCTTTTTGTGGTTTACCTAAAGAATTGTATTTATGGGATATAACATGTCATTGTAAGGTTTGAGGGCAAAGTCAAAAACTTTCAGGCTTAAAAATGGCCCCGGGCAGCAAGTAAAACACACCAAAACAGAAAAAATAGATAGGATCCAAAAGTTGCAGAGCTCTGATTTTTTTTCTTATATACATTTTCAAAAACTTGGTTTCCACTATCCTCAACCACCACCAAAAAAAACAAACAACAAAAAAAACAGAGTCCCACCACAACTACACAGCTTTTAAAACATTAGCCTGTACCATTTCTAATTAAGATGGGTGGAGCCAACATTTACATTTTCTGTATGGAAAATAGCACACACGTAACTAAATTAAATCTCAAGAGAAAACAAACATTTTAAAACAGTTATTTAAACAATAATTTAATTTAAACAATTTAAACTAAACAACAACTTAAACCCAACCAGAATCCAAAACATCTCCCTCCCTCTCGATCACTGTGGTTTTTCCCAGTGAGGCTGATTGAAAACACCAGTTCCTTGTCAGCGCTGCTCACGGTTGCACTTCTATGGCAACGCATGACTCGGTGACCTCAAAGAGAAGGAGATAATTATCAGAACAACAAAATCCTAAAGTTAAATTAATAATTTGATCATCATGTTTAAGCCTTTTCACAAATACAAACAAAAAATACAGTTATGCATTAAGTTCATGTAGATCAGTACAGACAGCACTTGTTAGTGAGGGAGTAAATCTCTTAGTCATGATTTAGAATATACCTCTGTATGAGTGCCATGGTTTGGTATAAGTAAGTAAGTAAATTTTATTTATATAGCACTTTTCATAGATACAATCACAAAGGGCTTTACAAAAATACAAAATACAGGCTTAAAATAAAACAAAAACAATAACAGCTGATAAAAACAGTAAGAACAGCTGATAAAACAATAAGAACAGCTGATAAAAACAGTAAGAACAGCTGATAAAAACAATAAGAACAGCTGATACAAACAGTAAGAACAGCTGATACAAACAGTAAGAACAGCTGATAAAAACAGTAAGAACAGCTGATAAAAACAATAAGAACAGCTGATACAAACAGTAAGAACAGCTGATACAAACATTAACAGTTGATACAAACATTAAGAACAGCTGATACAAACATTAAGAACAGCTGATAAAAACAGTAAGAACAGCTGATAAAAACTGTAA